CCCCGGCCCTGCTGCCCCCCGGACACGCCGCCTCGGAGGAGCCTGGCTGCGACAGCTCTCGGGCCTCTGTGGCTGCCCTGGTTGCACACCGTCCAGGGAGGGAGGAGGCGCTGGGGGCGGGCAGCCCGGACCTTTGCTTTTCCTTGGAGGAGGCCAGGGAGACAGATGCCTTTGGCGGAGGGACCGGGGCCAGAGATCCCAAGATCAAAGGGTGTGGATATCAGGGCTGGGCAGGTGGCGTCACTTGGAGGCACCGGGGAGGGGCAGCAGCTGGTGCCTCCCAAGGGCAGGGCTGACCCAGAACGCCCTCCCCTCGCTCCCTGCCCCACCCCCGCGGGTGACCTGTGGGGAAGGGCTCTGGGAGCTGAATGCAAGGAGGGAGGGGTGCCCCCCCGCCGTGGGCACAGCTGTACCCCCCGCCACACACACTCGGACCCTCCGCTCAACCCTCACAATCGCTCCCTTACGAGGAACTATTACATAATATACCTGTATTTTTTGAATATATTTTTATTGATTTCAGAGAGGAAGAAAGAGGGAGAGATAGAAACATCAGCTGCCTCCTGCACGCCCCCCACTGGGGATGGAGCCCGTAACCCGGGCATGTTTCCTGACCGGGAATCGAACCCGGGACCCTTCAGTCCACAGGCCGACACTCTATCCACTGAGCCACACCGGCCAGGGCTCCCAGTCCCATTTAGAAAACCGTCTCGCTGGGTGTCTGGGTGCTGTGGGCTGGGGTGGGTGCGCCCGGGGAGTGCAGGTATGGGGACGAGGGCGGCGGGGGGGGGGGGGGGGGGCTCCCAGCTGTGGGAGGAGCTTTCACTGGGCTGGGCGTGGGGCACTGAATAGAGGGCTCTTTCTCCTGTTCTCCCCGGACACGCCCTGGCCCTTTATCCGGTGGAATAAAGGCAGAAGGACCAGCGTCTTCAGCTAAACAAACAGAACCCAGGGCCTTGTCTCCCACAAAGGGGACTCCCCCGCTCGCCCTGGGCACCCATCCTTCCGCCCAGGCCCTCCCCCCCCCCCCCCCGCTTCCACCCCGCCAGCCCCTGTCCTGGGACCTCAGGGAGCCCGCGGGACACGCCACCGCTAGCCACCCAGGCCGGGCTGTGGCTGACTTGGTGACGGAAGCTTCAGCGCTCCGTCAAACGGCCGCATGGACGAGCCTGAGGAAGCCCAGTGGGACTCCGGCTCCCGCCCCAGGCCTGGTCCCTCGGGCCTGTCATGGTCCACACGCTTGTCATTTGTCCCCACGGACGGGCTCTTTGAGGGCGGGCGGCACACGTCACTGGGCCTCGCAGCTTCCTCGCCCGGCACACAGTAGGTGCTCAGCCAGCGCTGGTTGAGTGGTGGCTGCCTGGATGGTGAGAGGAAGGCCTGGAGGGCTTCCCGTAGGAGGCGGCACTTGACCTGGGTCTCGGCGAGCGGGGGCGTTGGGTCGTGGTGCTCACGGGTCCTGCCGGTCGGTTACTTGCTGTGGGCTGGGCACCGGCGGGGCAGTTTGCCAGGGGGGAAACCGAGGCAGGGAGAGGCGAAGGAACGTGCCCAGGGCCCCACGGTGGCAGAGCCGGGAGTCAGACCGCAGAGGCGGCAGGGTGTCCGGTGGGGCTGCCTGTGACGAGGGCCACGTCCGTCCCGTGTGGGGCCACTGGCCACGTGTGGCTGCCGAGCCTCGAGCCGTGGCCAGTGCAGCCGAGGAACCGATTTGCTGATTTAATCTGAACGGATGGAAATGTCCCCCGTGCGCTGGTGGCTGCTGTGTGGGGCAGAGCAGGTCCCTTCGTGGCGCAGAGAGTGGGCGGAGCGGAGAGAAGGGGCCCGGAGCCGGTCCCCCGGGGCTTCGGAGGGGAGGGTCTGCTGCTCCCCATCCTCCAGCTTCTGCCCCACACCCCCGGCATCCCCCCCTTATCACACCTGCTCCTGGTCTCCATGGTGACAGCCTCGCCCTGCAGCCTGGGTGGTCTGGTCGCCTCACAGGGTGAAGTTCTGAGAACATTTTCCTGACGTGCAGCCAGAATTTCCACTTCCCTCGCCCAGGGCTGGGGCTCTGCTCCCCCTGCTGCCAGCCTTGCCCGCCCCCACCCCCACCCCACGCCCACCCCCCTGGCCCAGTCCGCCCAGAGGCCCGGGGCTGTGGATGGGGGTGCCCCTCGCCCTCGCCGCCCCGCTGTTCAGTGGGGAGGCAGCGTGCAGGGCCCAGCGCCGTGAGGACGCGGGGCCCCTCGTCCGGACGTTAGCGAGAATTCAAACGACAGCAGCAGAGGCTGAGCTGCCAAGCGCTGGGCTCCGTGCAGCTAAACAGCCGTGAAGCTGGTCCCAGAGCAGTGATGCGTGCGCATGCATGTTCCTGTGCATGTGTGTGCGCGCATGCATGCATGTTTCCATGCACATACATGTGCGTGTCCAGGTGCACATCTATACACGCGTGTATGTGTGTGTTGTGCACATGTGTGTACAAGGGAGGGTTTCTGTGTGCACACGTGTGCGCGCTCCTAGTGGTCATAGGATGGCGAGGGGGCCACAGGGCGAGTCCAGGCCTGGGCACTCGGTTCAGTCACACGTTGGTCTCCAACCGCAGCCTCACGGGGCATCCGTGCTCCTTCGGGAGACGGGCCGGGGGTAAACTGAGGCCGAGAGCAGGTCACAGCGCCCTGGGCTTTCCCACGGGGGGGGGGGGGGCCCGCGGAGGCCACGGCATCTCCCGAGTTCCTGACTGTGACGTGCGGAGGCTTCCAGAACGCCGGTGACCGTGAGCAGTCCAACACGCTGAGATGCACACGGGCAGGTACACACGTGTGCCCTCACACGTGGCACATGCTGCCCAGCACCCACTAGACAAGCATATCCAAGACCTGGTGTATCCCAAGACGTGCCCCTCGTAAATATCACCCGTTCTACCGCCGAGCTGCTGCTGCTGCAGCCAAACCCAGGCCCCCAGGGCTCAGGGCGCCCCTCGTCCCGGCCTGGGCACGGCCTGCGGCCTGAGCTGCTCTCTGGTCGCACAGGGACAGCCCACCTCCTGGGAAGCCTGTCTCAGAGCCTCCACCTTCGCAGGGCACCTTCCTGAGATTGCCCAGGCGGGGCCCCCTCCCGCAGGCCCCCCCCAGAATGACCCCAGGACGACCCCCCAGGATGATCCCCCCAAGAACAACCCCCCAGGACAACCCCCCAGGACAACCCCCCAGAATGACCCCCAGGATGACCCCCCCAAGGACAGCCCCCCCAGGCCCTCCCCCCCTGCAGGGCCAGTGGCCCTTACTGCTCCTGGGGCCCTGGCATCAGCTTGGAGGGCCTCAGTGGGAAGCCTTCTGCGCCTCCCGCTCCCAGCTCTGCGCTCCTCCCCACTCTCCCTGGCACCAGCCTCACCCCTTTTCCTTTTGTGCGGGGCCCAGGCCTGAATGGGGCCCCCCCGCCCCCGCCCGCCCCTCTGAAATCCACCCCCTCCCCTGCCCCTGCAGCTGGGCTGTGTTGTCTCAGGGCAGGATGTGGGGGGCTGGGCCCCTCCTCCCAGGGGAGAACAATGAGGCCTCTGGGGGGTGGGGGGGGGGCTTGGAGCCACATCAGAGCCTCGCGGGACGGCCCCCGGGGGGACAGCTGAGTGACGCGCCCTGAGTCACGGCCCCACGCGGCCTCGCGCTCCTGTGGAGGCACGTTTGGCCGGGCTCGGGGTAAACACGGAAGGTGCTCGCTCTGCTCCTCCCTCCTGGCGAGGGCGAGCCCGGCCCGGCCCGAGGGGAGGTCCCGGCAGAACCGGGCTGTGGCGTGGGCTCCCCCAGCCACCGTTCCGTGCGCCAGCCCCGTGTTCTGTGCGCCAGCCCCGTGTTCCGTGCGCCAGCCCCGTGTTCCGTGCGCCAACCCCGTGTTCCGTGCGCCAGCCCCGTGTTCCGTGTGCCAGCCCCGTGTTCCGTGTGCCAGCCCCGTGTTCCGTGTGCCAGCCCCGTGTTCCGTGTGCCAGCCCCGTGTTCCGTGCGCCAACCCCGTGTTCCGTGCGCCAGCCCCGTGTTCCATGCGCCAGCCCCGTGTTCCGTGTGCCAGCCCCGTGTTCCGTGCGCCAGCCCCGTGTTCCGTGTGCCAGCCCCATGTTCCGTGTGCCAACCCCGTGTTCTGTGCGCTAGCCCGCGGCTCTGCCCGGCAGGGCCCATCCTCCCTCCCTGGGGCACTGCTGGGAGCCCGGCTTTGTCAGAGATGAAACACTGGAGACGCAGCAGTCTTTTTATTTATTTATTTTTTAAAAATATTGTTATTGATTTCAGAGAGGAAGGAGAGGGAGAAAGAGAGAGAGAGACATCAATGATGAGCCCTGGCTGGTGTGGCCTGGTGGATAGAGCGTCGGCCTGCGGACTGAAGGGTCCCGAGTTCGATTCCCGGTCAAGGGCACGTGCCTGGGTTGCAGGCTCCATCCCCAGTGGGGGGCGTGCAGGAGGCAGCTGGCCAGTGATTCTCTGGCACCGGCTCACCTTTACCCAAATCATCCTGTTTCATCCTCACGCCCCCCACCCCCCCAGATTCAATGTCACCCCCAGGTCTCAGCCGGACGCGGCGGCGTCAGTGTGGGCGTCCGTGTTGTGAGCGTTTTGTGTGCCGAGCACCTTGGAGGCCCCCGGGGAGCACGTCCGTCCCACCGCTGGGAGCCGGCACCTTCCGCGATGTGCCCGGAGGCCACGGCCTCCCCTGGAGACCGAGGGAGGGAAGCCCAGGGGGACATGACCACAGGCGACGCTGGGGGGGGGGGCAGCGCTGTCCCCCGGCTCCGGGCTGACGAGGGAGATGCTCACGCCCGTGTGTGGACTCTGTAGACGCCGGCCCTGGAGGTCGGAACGGCAGGGCGCCCCGTGCCTCGGTTTACCCACGGGTCCGCGGAGTGTGAGGTGCACGAGGCGGCTCCTCCTCTCCTGCTGGAAACTCCGTGAATTTTGCCCGAGGCCCCTTGGCCGGGAGGTCAGCTCCCTCCCCAGCCCTGGGCTGTCCCCAGCACCCTCTGCTTCCTCCCCACGCAGAGACCTGAGCATGAACAACCTCACGGAGCTGCAGCCCGGCCGCTTCCACCGCCTGCGCTTCCTGGAGGAGCTGTGAGTGGAAGGGGGGCGGGGGGGGGCTGGGGCCCCCTTCAGAACAAGGAGCGGGGGCTGTTCTTTTTTCCCTCCTTTTCTTTTAAAAAATATACATTTAAATATACTTTTATTGATGTCAGAGAGGAAAGGAGAGGGAGAGAGAGAAACATCCGTGAAGAGAGAGGATCATGGATCGGCTGCCTCCTGCACGCCCCCCCACTGGGGATCCAGCCCGCAACCCGGGCCTGTGCCCTGACCGGGAATCGAACCCTGACCTCCTGGTTCACAGGTCGAGGCTCAGCCACAGAGCCACACCGGTCGGGCGCCGGCTCCTCTGTGTGGCTCTGCTCGGTCCGGGGGAGCAGGAAGCCCGTTTTGTTCCCCCTGCCCCGTGGGGTCGGATCCCCCTCCCCCCCCATGACAAGCTGCCTTAGCCCCGGGCGTCAGGCTGATCGAGCCCCATGTCCGCACCCCCCTGGGTTGTGGGGGTGGCTGTGGCGTTCAGGACGCGGGGAGACACCGACACCCCGTCTGCGCTGGACCCTCCATGGCGACGGGAGCAGCACAGACAGGAGGCGAGGACGGGCCTGGGGCCGCGGTAGCCCAGGAGGGTGTGGGCTGCGGGGCACCCGGGGCCGAGGAGTTCGCCGGCCCTGCGGCTGCTGCGCGCCGGGACCCCGAGGGCCGTGGCTCGACCTCCCCGAACTGCAGTTCCCTCCCCTAAGATTTGGGGCAACAGCAGCACTAGACGGGGTGATTGTGAGAATGGAGCGAGGTGGTGGGTGTGGCCCAGACATTGTCGCTCTCAGAACTTGGGGGTCAGCACCCCATCCGCCCCCTCCCCGGCCCCCCCAGGCTAACAGGGTCCCCTCCGCGGGTTCCCTGCCGGCCGGCATCACCCACCCTCTGCTCCGACCTGCAGGCGTCTCTCAGGGAACCACCTGTCACACATCCCGGGAGGAGCGTTCTCCGGCCTCCACAGCCTGAAAATCCTGTGAGTACGGGTGACCTTCACGCCGAGGCGTGACCTTGGGAACGGAGGCCGAAGCGCGGTTTTGTGCCGGAGTCTCCGTCCGCCGCAGACTCCCCTGTCCCTCCCTTACCTGCCGTTCCGCCTTAATCGCCGCTCGCATTCCTGTGCGGCCGCTGTCTGTAACACACGCTACGGTTTGGGGACACGCGTCATTGTACCCGCTATTATTTCGTTATTTCCCTGCAGGAGGGCACACCATCCTTTTTTAAAAAAATATTTTTACTGATTTCAGAGAGGAAGGGAGAGAGAGAGAGAGAGAGAGAGAAGCATCCATGATGAGAGAGTCATGGATCGGCTGCCTCCTGCACGCCCCACACTGGGGACCCAGCCCTCAACCCGGGCCTGTGCCCTGACCGGGAATCGAACCCTGATCCCCTGGTTCACAGGTTGACGCTCAGCCCCTGAGCCACGCCGGCCGGGCCGGGCCTTTCAGACCAAATTTCAGCGGAACCGCGAGTTCTGACTTTGGTCGCTCACGGCCGCCCGGCCCACGTGTCTCTGCTTCGGCTCCGTCATCCTCTTTGCTCTGCCTCACCCTCCCGTGACCCCTCCCGGGGGGCCCAGCCCACCACACCCGGACAGCCCCCCTGATGGGCCGGGCCTGGGCTGGGCCAGGACGCCCTCTGGGCTCCTGCAGCTGGGGTGCGAGAGAGGGATCTAGCTTGGGGTGGGGTTCAAGGGAGGGACCCCACCCCGCAGGCCTGGGAGTCCTCACGCCCCTCCTCCCCTTGCAGGATGCTGCAGAACAACCAGCTGGGAGGGATCCCGGCCGAGGCGCTGAGGCAGCTGCCGAGCCTGCAGTCTCTGTGAGTCCCGGCCACGCCCCCTGCACCCCGTTCCCCCCTCTGCGCCCCACTTCCCCCCCATGTTCAGACAGCGTGCGCTCCGGTCCCCGGTGTCTCCGGGTTTTCGTTGTCGTCAGGGTGTGTGTGTGTGTGTGTGTGTGTGTGTGTGTGTGGACTCGCTTGTGTATCCGGGAGGGGAGGCTCCAGGCCCCGTGGGGACTGTGGGAACGGGACCTCCCTAGGCGGGGCCACCAGGGCAGCCTCCTGGGGCGCCTGGCGTTCTGCCTGACGGAGTCTGGGGTGCCGGGGGTGCTGGGCGGGGTTGGCCGCCCCCAGGAAGAGCCGTCTCCTCCGCGGAGACTGCTCTAGCCCCAGGGCTTTGGGGGCGGGGTGGCCCAGACACCCATTTCCTCTGCCTGGGGCGGGGCTGTGTTGAGGAAGCATGGGCCACCCAAGACACGGTCGCCCTCCAGGGAGCCCTGCAGCTCCTCTCCCGCCCAGCAGGGGCATCGTGGGTTAGAGTTTGCGTCTTTGAAACATGGCTCTGGTAGCAGCCTGGAGGACAGCCTGGAGGAGGGGGCTGTGCAGGGACGTGAACTGAGGGAGCGTGATGGCGTATGAAGGAGAGGCCGGCGCAGGGGCCGGAGGAGAGGTTGGCAGACTCTGGACAGGTCAGGAGGCCAGGACACGCGGCCTGGGGTCGCTTCACCTCCTGCCTGGAGACCCCGGGCAGGTGACCGAACCCCGGCTGCTGCTTCTTTATAGGAAAACGGGGTGGTGCCTCAGTAGGAGAGCAGGAAGTGAGCTCACGTGCGTACAAGGGGCAGAACAGCACGTTTCTGGCTGCCACTGCAATCATTCTTGGTGGTATTGGCTGGAGGTGGGCGTTGAGGGAGAGCAGGGGGCGCTGCCCTCGGGGTGGACGAGAGGCCGGGCACCGAGAGCGTGGCCCTGGGAGGGGGTCAGTGAGAACGTGCTGACTGAGGGGTCAGTGGGCAGTGATGCCCAGAGGGCGGGCAGGAGGGGCCCAGGGGGTGGGGGGTGCTGATGGCCCTTCTGCAGGAGCTGAGTCTGAGGTGCCTGTGGGTGGGGTGATCAAGCGTCAGTGACGACCTTAAAAATGGGTCGTCTCCCTCCCTGCAGGGCGTCAGTGTGTGTGTGCGAGTGTGTGGGTGTATATGTGTGTGAGTGTGTGAGAATGTGTGTGACTGTCTATGTGTGTATGTGAGTATGTGTAAGCATGTAAGCATGTAAGCATGTGAGTGTGTGGGGTGTGTGTGTGTGTGCATGTGGGTGTATGTGTGTGAGTGTATGAGAATGTGTGTGGCGGTGTATGTGAGTGTGTAAGCATGTAAGCATGTAAGCATGTGAGTGTGTGTGTGTGTGTGTGTGTGTTCAGAGGGGGCCCTGTTCTGGGCCGGAGATGCCCCCCTGCCATGGAGAAGCCCCCCAAGCTGCCCCGAGGCCCGGTGGGTACCGTCAGCACCACCCATCTCGCCCACCAGCGGAGCGGACCCTGAGGCCTGCCGCGCTGTGGGGCCTGGCCGAGGGTCCCCGGGGACGCGGGGTGGCGGTGGCTCCGGGCGTGGCTATTTCGGGCTCCGTGATTACACACTGCTGCATTTGGATCTCCCCGAGCTTCCGGGAGCTGATTGCTACATGTGCGTCTGGGCAGAGGCTGCCCTGAGGCGGGTGGGCGCGCGGCAGCCCCCGCCCGCGGTGCCGGCTGAGCACGGCCGCCTGGCTGCTGGAGGCTCGGGAGTGTGTCCGTGTGGGCCGGCCCGGATCCTGGGAGGTTCTCTCCGCGTCAGTGCTGGTGGGGACAGGCGGCCGCGCGGGCCACCCAGGAGCAGGGGGTGCCTCGGCCCCAGCAGGAACGCCTCCCCCCGACCACGCGTGGGCCTCCCAGCCCCCCTGCCCTCGCGCCCCCTGGAGCTCCTGCGGGCCAGGCCTGGGGGGCCTTGGAGGGGCCAGAGCACCCCCAGGATGGGGCTGTGGGAGCTGACACCTCAGGTGGGGTCTTTTTCGAGCCCATGAGTAATTTTCCACTCGTTTATGAGCCGTTGGAGTCCGGTGGCTGGCAGCCCCTGGCCGGCGTGTGGAAATTCACACGGCGGCCGGAAAGGGCGGCCCGCGCTCCGGCTCCCGCTTGGCCACCGGCGAGCCGCGTGGGTGGAGGCTGCCCGCCGACCACAGGGCCTTGGGGTGAGGAGCTGGAAGGTGGAGGTGGCCACCCAGCCTCATCGCCCCTCCTGCAGGGGAGGCACCCGGGCAGCAGAGAGGGGTGACCCCAGCGTCCCCCAGGGAGAGGACCCGGCCAGGCTGCCGCTGCCTCTTCCCTCCGACCTCTTTTTTTTTTTTTAATCCTCACCCAAGGGTATTATTCCATTGATTTTGGAATCAATGGAGGGGATTTTGGAGAGAATGGAGGGGAGAGGGAGAGAGACAGAGAGAAATATCGACGTGAGAGAAACACATCGATGGGGTGCCTCCTGCACGCGCCCCGACCAGGGCCCAGGCCGGGGAGGAGCCTGCAACCGAGGTACGTGACCTTGATGGGAAGCGAACCCAGGACCCTTGGGTCCACAGGCTGATGCTCTATCCACTGAGCCACACAGGCCGGCCAGGGCGAGGGTGGGCCGCAGAGCAGGTGACAGAAGCGGGCGGGTCCTGCGAGGCTGCCCGCACCCTCCCCTCCCCCTCCCCCGCGCGCTGCCCCACGCGGCTCCCGGCCGCCTCCCTCCTCTCGGCTCAGAGTCTGGGACTTAATTACACCCTGACGCCGTTTGTTTTCTGAAAAACATGTTTATTTTGGTTCTGACTCATTGCAGAGAGTTTAGAAAAGACAAAAACGAAAAAGAGGGAAAATGAGAATCACCCGCAGTCCTGCCACCCAGACACAGGCCGTGCGCGACGGTGCGTCTGCCTCTGCGCACACACTCGCTCCGGCCACACACGCTTCCCCGGGAGACAGGCGGCCGCACAGGCCACACGGGGCCGGCCTGCAGCCCGGGCGTCACCGCTTCGGCTTTAGGCCATGCTTAGACATTGAGGTGCCATTCGCGCGGCGTAAGAGGCCGCTGTTCTGGAAGTGGACGCGCGGTGGTCGGCCTGTCTACGTACAGACGTGCGAGGCCGTTGTGAGTCCTGGTGAGAGGAGTCGGAAGTGGGGCTTTGGGAAGAGGGGGGAGACGCACCACCCGTGCGCAGTACAGATGAGAGCCGTGCGCTCCAGGACAAGGAGGGAGGCACGGTTCCCAGTGACATGGGGCCGGGGCACCTGAGCTGGGGGCCGGTGAGAGTCGCCCCAGGGGAAGAATCGCTGCGGGGTTAGGAGTTGACCGGAAGCCCAGGTGACTCTGAGCAAGAGAGAGAGACGAGGTCACAGCCTGGAGCCGGGCGGGGTGTCTCCAGTCTGTGTGGGTGGATGGAAGGGTGGGCACATGGAAGGGTGGGCACATGGAAGGGTGGGCACATGGAAGGGTGGATGGATGGAAGCATGGACAGATGGATGGAATGAAGGAGGGATGGGGGGATGGGACAGATGGGTGATGGGTGGATGGGCAAGTGGATGGACAGAGAGATGGATGGAGGGATGGAGGGATGATGGATAGACAGGTGGACAAATGCAGGGATGGATGGAGGGATGGACGGACAGATGAATGGATGATGGATGATGAATGGATGGAAGGATGGATGGATGGATGGATGGATGATGGACAGATGTATGGATGATAGATGGAGGGGTGGATGGATGGTAGGTGAGTGGAAGGATGGATGATGAATGGATGGAAGGATGGATGGATGATGGACAGACGGATGGATGGATGGATGGATGGAAGGATGGATGATGAATGGATGGAAGGATGGATGGATGATGGACAGACGGATGGATGGATGGATGGATGGATGGAAGGATGGATGATGAATGGATGGAAGGATGGATGATGGACAGACAGATGGATGAATGGGTGGAAGGATGGATGGATGATGGACAGACAGATGGATGAATGGGTGGAAGGATGGATGGATGATGGACAGATAAATGGGTGGATGGATGGATGGAAGGATGGATGATGGACAGACAGATGGATGGATGGACAGATAAATGGATGGATGGGTGGGTGGATGGGACGTTGGGAGACTGAGGACGAGGAGATGCACAGCACACAGCTATAACCTCCCCAGTTCTCACTCTGGTCCGCAGGGCGCCTACGAGACCCTGGACACGAGAAAGGAGAAACTAGATTGTGGGAAGGACTGGGAGCCTGTGTCAGGGAAGCCGGCACTGATGGGACTTCTCCTCCTTCCTGCTCTCTCCGCACCGCCACCCCCACCCCCCGGTTCCTTGAAAAGTGCTCACCTGAGGCCTGGTCTCCCCTGGTCCCTCTCACTGCAGAGTCTGCTGGGCGGGTCCTCATTGTCTTTGAAACACTGCGTGCTGCTCACGTCTCCTAACCTCTGACGTCACCGTGCCCTTCCGAGAGGCCAGCGGGGAAACCCCGTCTGCCTCTTCCTCCTCCAACCACAGCCGCCCGCCCGAGGCCAAGGGCAGGCGTCCAGGCCCCGGGGAACCACAGAGCCCAGCTCTCAGACAGCCCAGGAGGGACCCAGAAACCAGAAACCCCCTCGACCGACGCGAGGCCCCCGATGGCGGGGGCCGGGAGGGGTGCGCTGGCTGTTTGTGGTCCCCACCCCAGGATTCCAGGACCGTCACCCCCAGCGCTGGCCCTCTGCCCAGGCCTGCGGGCTGTGTCTTCAGGGGAAGCTCATCCAGGCTGCACACAGAGCCTCGCCTGTGCCTTCCCCCGGCGGGCGGGCAATTATTTTTATACGCTGCTGCCGATTAAACACGAGGGAGGGTGCTCAGGTGTCACCCTTTGATGTGCAGAGAGGAAGGGCGCTCTCTGCCTGCCAGGCGGGCGCGGGCGGGCGCTGGTTCATCCGTCAATGCCTGGCAGGTGGAGGGAGGGGGCTGGGCCTTGGTGGTGTAGGCCCCCCCCCCCCCAGCCCCTTGCGATTGCCTTTGTTTTCATATCCACCTTTGATCTAGTGAAGGGCTGACTGCAAGGGGAGGGATCTCGTCAGGTGGCATAAACCAGAACTGACATGCCCGGCCGGGCTGGCTCTGTGGTTGAACGTTGGCCTAGGAATCAGGAGGTCACGGGTTCGATTCCCGGTCAGGGCACAGGCCCGGGTTGCGGGCTCGATCCCCACTAGGGGGCGTGCAGGAGGCAGCCGATCGACGATTCTCTCTCATCATTGATGCTTCTCTCTCCCTCCCTCTCCTTTTCTCTCTGACATCAATAATAAACACACTGACGAAACTTGGGGTGCAGTGTTGCCGTGGCTCTCAGCTGCCCCGCTCAGTCAGTGGGAGCACGAAGGTGAAGGAGGCTCCATCCACCTGCACCCCTCACCCTCCCTCACCCCGCCTCAACCCCAGAAGGGAAGCGTGGGGTCTCGTTCAGCCACCACCTCTCTGTCGCCGAGGGACCCTGCCCAGGAGAGCTCAGGTTCCAGAGTTTTCGTTTTCGGACCCTGTGAGGGCCTGGTGCTGGGCTCCCGGTGTGTAGAGGGCGGCTAGGACCCAAGGGAGGGGACCCCAATGTCCGGCCCAAGCCGTTCACCTGACCTCGGCCAGCGACGTAGTAGGGGCAGCATCCTCCTCTGGGGGGGGGGTCTTGGGGGCCTTGGGGGGCCGTCCCTATGGCCCTGCTACAGGGCAGAGGCTGAGGGACACCTCCTGCCAAGTGGACGTGAGCGGGAGGGAACGGAACACTGGACTCAAAGCCAACAACCTTCTTTTAAAAAAGAAATGTCATTGATTTCAGAGAGGAAGGGGGGGGGGGGACAGAGAGAGAGAGAGAGAGAGAAACATCAATGATGAGAAGGAATCATGGATCGGCTGCCTCCTGCACGCCCCCCACTGGGGATCGAGCCTGCAACCCGGGCCTGTGCCCTGACCGGGAATGGAACCCTGACCTCCTGGTTCATAGGCTTCGATGCTCAACCCCTGAGCCACGCCGGCCAGGCTGGCCAGGCCTTCCGACCACCCGGTCCTGGGGGCTTGGAGGGACAGGGCCACAACCCTGCCAGCCTCCGCCTCAGCCCTGGGTGTGTGTATGGGGGGTGTGGGGGCGCAGTGTGGCCCCTGTGAGGTCAGGGTGGCTCCCGGAGCCCAGGCGAGCCCCGACTGGCCGCGGGGCCCCTGCTCACCTGCCATGTTAGCACAGGTCAGGACGGGCATCGCAGCCAGCGGGGAGCCCAGACCCACGAGGGAGGGGAGGGCTGCTGGGGTGTTGACTTGGTTCCAGGGCTTAATTGGTGTAATTGCTCGCTGCTTCCTGCCAAACCCCGTCTGTCTGGGCGGCTGCCCACCTGCGGGCGGGAGCGGCTCCCGAAGGCCTCCCGTCCCCCGTGGAGGATTCTGAGGCTCCTCCAGCTCCCTCCCCACCCGCCCTGGAGGACCAGGGGTCCCGGGGCAGCCTGAACCCCAGCTCCCTGAAGGAGCACCCCATCCTGCCGGGGGCAGGGAGAGAGTGGGAGAGGCGTCTAGAGCCAGGCGGCAGACCCGGGGGCCCCCAGGGTTCCAGGGTCCCCAGGGGGAGGCAGGGGATGTCCCTCAGAGGGGAGCGGGGAGAGTAGGTCCATTTCCTGGGGTGCAGGGTTATGGAGCCTGAGGGCCTTTGGGGGTGAAGACTGGGGCTTCCACAACGTAGGGGCCCCCGTGGGAGAACCTCACCTTGGGGCAAGGCCTCCTCACAGGCCAGCTCGTCTGGGCCCCGAGGCACCAGCCGCATAGGGCCCAGCCCATGTGCCCTGACCGGGACTCGAACCCTGACCTCCTGGTTCATAGGCTGATGCTCAGCCACTGAGCCACGCCGGCCGGGATGGGTCTGCGTCTTGCCCTGACTGCTCCTCCCCATCCTCTCCCCTCCCCCACTCCCTCCAGGCGCCTCGATGCCAACCTCATCTCCCTGGTCCCCGAGAGGAGCTTCGAGGGACTGTCCTGCCTCCGCCACCTGTGGCTGGACGACAACGCGCTGGCCGAGGTCCCGGTCAGGGCCCTCAACAACCTCCCCGCCCTGCAGGCCATGACCCTGGCCCTCAACCGTATCCGCCACGTCCCCGACTACGCCTTCCAGAACCTGAGCAGCCTGGTGGTGCTGTGAGCGCCTCCCCCCTCCGCGTGGGGCCGCCCGGGGCCACCTGCCCCTTCACTCCAGGGCCTGACGGCTGGGCTGAGCCTTCTGCTCTGGGTCCCCTTCGTAAAAATGGGGGGATGGTGCCCTGCTGACCTCACGCCTGGGGGTTGCCGTGAGGCCAGACGACATCAGGGCTAGAGAGGGGCCCTCAGGACAGAGACCAGAGCGGACGCCAGAGCGAAGCTATTATTTTCTTTCTTTTTAAAATAAATATGTATTGATCTCAGAGAGGAAGGGAGATGGAGAGACAGACGGACACAGCGATGATGAGAAAGAATCACTGACCGGCTGCCTCCTGCCCGCCCCCCACTGGGGATCGAGCCTGCAACCCGGGCCTGTGCCCAGACCAGGAATCGAACTGTGACCTCCTGGTTCAAAGAGGTCGACGCTCAACCACTGAGCCACCCTGGCCGGGCTAGCTACTATTTTTTCCCCGTGAGAACATATTCACTGCACCTTGTGTGTGGGCACCTAAGTCAAGGGTGTCTTTTTTTTCTTTTTAATGAATTTTTGTTGTTAATCCTCACCTGAGGGTATCTTCCCATTGATTTTATTTTATTTTTTTAGAGAGAGTGAAGGGAGGGGGAGAGGCAGAGAAACGTCGATGTGAGGGCGACACATCTATTGGTTGCCTCCTGCATGTGCCCCGACCGGGGCCAGGGATTCAGCCTGCAAATGAGCTACGGGCCCTGGACCGGAATCGAACCTGGGACCCTTCAGTCTGTAGGCAGACGCTCTATCCACTGAGCCACACCAGCCGGGGGCGAGGGTGTCCATAACGGTCACCGCCTCTGACAGCCAGGGGTGCGGTCTCAGGGCCTGGCACTGGGTGGGATGCGTTCCTGTCTCCCAGGCCTGGAGGAGCAGAGAGAAGCCATGGGGTGATCAGCCAGAACCCTCCCCCCCCCGCCCCCCCCCCCCCCCGCAGGGTGATTACCTGGAAGACCGCACCCCTGGCAGGACCTGGGGCCTGGGGTTACCTCTGTCTTCCTTCCCCCCGGGGAGCGGGGAGGCAAATTAGCTCCCAGCTAATTGCTGCGAGTGAGTGGTAAGTTCATCGGGTAATTACTGAGGGCTCAGAGGTTCCGTGGAATTGCTTGGGGTGCCACACCCATGGCTGGGGCACACGTGCGTCACCGACCCTGCTCTTGGGAATGCGGTGGAATCTGTCACGTTCTCTGACCTGGGAGCTGCAGGACCTGGACGGGCATCCTCAGGGGCCACGCCCGTGTGCCAGGCGGCCAGGTGTCTGTCCCAGGAGCCAGGGGGACTTGCAGAGGGCGAGCAGAGCAGGTGTTGGAGTCCAGCTTCAGGGCTACTCCGGCCGCATCCCCAGGGAGGGGGTCTGGGGGCCGGGGAGTGAGGGCCTGGGACAGTCCCAAGGGCTGACCAGCAGCAGCGCCTGAGGGGGTCCTGCAGGGCTGGGCAGGTGACAAAGACTGTGCAGCGAGGAGAACAAGAGTCCCAGCAGGTATCATAGACACCTGGGCCCAGCCGGCGTGGCTCAGTGGTCGACCTATGAACCAGGAGGTCAGGGTTCAAGTCCCAGGCAGGGCACATGTCCGGGGTTGCAGTCTTGATCCCCAGTGTGGGGTGTGCAGGAGGCAGCCGATTCATGATTCTCTCTTATCATTGATGTTTCTAGCTCTCTCTCCCTCTCCCTTCCTCTCTGAAATCAGTAAAAATATGTTTTTTTTAAAAAATGATAGACACTCTGTAAAGTCCTCCCTGACTGCTCTGGGTCACCACCTCCATGAAGCCCTCCCTGACTGCTCTGGGCTCACCAGTCCCCCCCACCGCTGAGCTCGTCTGCAGCATCCCAGCTGTAACAGAACACTTAGCCCTTAATTATATGTTGTCTGCAGCGGTTGGCTGTTGGTTCCCATCGGTGTGCTGGGCCACTGCGTCATGTGGGCTGGGTCCTGGGGAGCCTCAGACCAGAGCCCCCTCGGCCCCTGTTCGTCAGGCCTCTCTGAGAAGGTAGTGGGAGCCCATATCGGCCGCGAACGGACGCTCCTCTCCAGGGCAGCCCGTGGTCCATCCAGCCTTGGAGACCGTGCCTTCCAAAGTCGGGCTTTGCCAATCACTTTGTCCCTGGAGTCAAGGGCTGGACCAGTGGGGTCATTCCGTCCACACTTCAGCCTCCTCCTCAAGCCGCCGTCTGCCCCTTCCCTCCTCCCCCGGGCTCCGTGCTGCGGGCACCCGGCTGACCCGTCTTTCCTTCCCACACAGGCATCTTCATAACAACCGAATCCAGCGTCTGGGGACCCACAGCTTCGAGGGCCTGCACAGCCTGGAGACGCTGTGAGTGCGGGTTGTGGTCAAGCTCCGTCCTGTCCGGGGCGGAGGGGCAGTGTGGGCGACGGGGAGGCTGGCCAGCAGGCCTGGGACGCCGGCATCCGGCTGCGGCCTGCCCCCCCCCACGCCTCTCCCTGGCACTGTCTCCCAAGCACATCACCCAGATGAATGCCCCCTCCTCAGGCCGGTGGCAGGTGCCCTCCCGGGGCTCACGGTGGCCCTGGGAGGGGGACCCAGGACCCCTGCCGGCAGAGACCCCACCAAAATAATGAAACTTTCAGAAAAGGGGGGACCGCAAGGAGAAGCTAGGACTGGGGTGTCCCACCGGGGATGGGAGGCTCGGGCGTGCGTCTGGGGCCGACTCCAGGGGAGTCTGACACCCGCGTGAGGGCGGCGATGACGAAGGGGGGACCGCCGGTCCCTTGGCCCTGTCACCCGACCAGTAAGTGAGCCGCAGGGAGATGGCCCCTCGGCTCGGCCTGCCGATACAACGCCCCCAAGCCGCTGGCTCTGAAAAAGCCCGTTACTCACACGCGCGTCCTGGAATTCTGCTCAGGTCGGGATGCCCCAAGCGCTCCATCCTTAGCCCTGGCGTCCGCCAGCTGCACGGCCACCTGGGGCCCAGCTGGAGGCGGTGCCGGGAAGGGGGCGGTGTCAGGGCCCCGGGGCACCAGGTGTCAGTCAGCCAATGAGGTTGGGGAAGGGCTCCGGGTACCAGGGGTGCAGCCTGTTCTGTGCCCCCACCCCTTATACTCCACACGAACCCGGGATTGAACCCGGGACCCTTCAGTCCGCAGAGCGCCCTTCCTGAGTGAGGGGCTCCCAAGCTCGGCTCCCGGCCGTCCTCCGCCATCGAGTCTGGTGTGAGCCATGCAGTCCTGCTCCGCGCCAGGTGTGGGGGGACCCCGTGTCCCCTCCGCCACCTCTGGGAGGCGCCAGGGCTGTGGGCGGACCCGGAGAGCAGCCAGCTCACCCGCCCACCCGGGTGTGGGCCACTCGCGCTGCCAGGAAGCTGGAGGGGGCAATGGGCTGGGGCGGGGGGGGCGTGGGGGGGGCTCCGCTAGAGCCAGCCAGCAGCCATTGCCTCACTTCAGGGCACACTGCCCGCTTCTTTCTCAATTAGCCACCGGCAGGCTGCGCAGGGCACGTGGCGAGGTGGGCGCTGGCTTCGCTATAGAGCCGCCCCGCGCCCAGCGCCCACCTGCCTTTGATGTGCAGGGTGCGGGGGTGCCCACGAAGCCTGCGCCCGCTTACAGGCGGGGAGGCCAAGACAAGGGGCGAAAAAAGTCCCTCCACCCCCCGCCCCGTCGAGAACGTGGAGGCAGCCTGGGCCGGGACAGAGCATCCATCCGACAGCTGGAGGGTGAAGGCAGCTCTTCCTGCCGCCGCCCTGTGACCTTGGTCACGTCCTGTGAGTCTGCAGGTTCTGGGAATAGCGCTGCCCTAGCTGGTGTGGCTCAGTGGATAGAGCATCGGCCTGCGGACTGAAGGGTCCTGGGTTCGATTCCCGGCCAAGGGCACATGCCTGGAGTGCAGGCTCGAATCCCCAGTGTGGGGCGTGCAGGAGGCAGCCGATCCATGATTCTCTCTCATCATTGATGTTTCTCTCTCTCTCTCTCCCTCTCCCTTCCTCTCTGAAATAAATAAAAAAATGGCATTAAAAAAAAAAAGGCATAATGCTAGCCTTACCAGGGGCTGTGCGGACCCCATGAGAGCTGTGTGGGACCTTGCCCTGCACCCCTCCTCCCTCCCAGCCCCTCCCCTCTCTCCCAGCCCCTCCTTGGCCAGCCGTCTCAATCGCACCCCTTTTCCCCTCCTCCAGGGATCCGTTCTCCTTCCAGCTTTTGATCTCCAATTAAAAAGGGGCACGTGTGTGTTCTCTGTACCCCGTCCCGTCCCTGGAGCACCCGCTGGGAGCCTGCAGGGGCGGCCAGATGGGGAGGGCGGGGCGGCGCGGGGCATGAAAGCGGGCGTCCGACCTGTTAATTGTTGTGTCATTGGCGCGCTCTGCAGCCCGGTGATTCCTGTCGAGCTTTCCATGTGAGCTGCGTGCTGGCAGCGTGTCTCTCCCTCGGGGCACTTGGGCCTCTCTCGTCTCTGTGGAGGGAGGGCCTAACCCCCGCCCCCGCACCTCCCCCCCCCCCCCCCCACCCCCCGCGATCTGGCTCCTCTTTGGAGGGGAGTGACCTGCGGAGGAGGGGCCAGGTGCGGGCAGGCACACGCGTGGTCACGCAGCAGACTGTGCACATGCAGGGCACACGCCACGTCATTGCTCAAGCCTCCCGGGTCTTTACCACACACACACACACACACACACACACACACACACACACGGGTAGGGACCCTTTTTCCAGCCCAAGGCCATTTAGATATTTATAACCTCATTCAGGGGCCATAGAAAATGATCCACTGGAAAACAGCCTGCTGGCCCTAGCTGGTGTGGCTCAGTGGATAGAGCGTCGGCCTGCAGATTCAAGGGCCCCAGATTTGACTCTGGTCAAGGGCGCATGCCTGGGTGGCGGCCCAGTCCCCAGTGTGGGGCGTGCAGGAGGCAGCCGATCCATGACTCTCTCTCATCACTGATGTTCCTGTCTCTCTCTCTCCTGGGCTCTGAGGCTCGGCCGATGGGAGTCTCTGGAGTTAAGATAATAATGCGGGCTGGCCGGTGTGGTCAGCTCTCCAGCCTGTCGTCGGGGGGCCTCCCCAGCGTTGACCCCTGGATCCCACCCTCCCGCCCCCCCCCCCCCCCGGAGCCACGCGTGTTGCTCAGGCCTGGCCTGCCCGCCCGCCAGCACCCCTGACCCCAGCCCTGCTCCCTTCCAGGGACCTGAACCACAACGACCTGCGGGAGTTCCCTGTGGCCATCCGGACCCTGGGCCGGCTGCAGGAGCTGTGAGTACCTCCGCGCCGTGTCCTGGTCGGGAGCAGGAAACTGACCCCCGGGCAGAGAGAGGGCCCAGCAGGAGTGAATGCGAGCAGCCGGCAGGCCCCGAGGGTTAGGAGCAGAGCCCCGAGCTGTGGGCAGCCCCTTTGGTTGTTGTTGTTGTTAATCGTCACTTGGGGATATTTCCCCATTGAGGTGTAGAGAGAGGGGAAGAGAGGAGGAGAGGCAGAGAGAAACACTGATGTGGGAGAGACGCCGATGGGCTGCCCCCGGCTCGCCCCTTTGCTGTTCTGGCCCGTGTCTCCGTCCCCACCCGAAAGCTGCATGGCGTCCCCTGTGTTCTCGTGGCCTCACTGACCGGCTTGTCTTGCAGGGGTTTCCATAACAACAACATCAAGGCCATCCCAGAGAACGCCTTCATGGGGAACCCCCTGCTGCAGACCATGTGAGTCCCGACTTCTCGGGCGTCGGGGGGTTGGGGGGAGCTGGGGAAGCGGGACAATGGGGAGGGGGTGCCTGACCTGACCCCCCGGATGCTCTCCCCGGGGCTCCATGGGGAGAAGAAAGCAGAGACCCGCCGCGGTCCTGGCTGAATGAATTCCGTGCTGGGGTCTTTTCTAGACACTTCTATGACAACCCAATCCAGTCCGTGGGGAGGTCCGCATTCCAGGACCTGCCGAAGCTGCACACGCTGTACGTCGGCCCCCTTTCCTGGGTCCCCCCACCCTGCGCCCTTCCCACCCTCCCCCGCCAGGCTCAGGCCGCGGGGGCACCAACAACTCCCTCCTCCTCTCCTGGCTTCTTCCCGGATCCTGAACGGGCGAACAGGGCCCTCTCCACAGCCAGGGACCTTGGCCGGCCTCTTTTCTTTTCTATATATTTTTTTTATTGATTTCAGAGAGGAAGGGAGAGGAGAGAGAGATAGAAACATCCATGATGAGAGCGGATCATGGACCGGCTGCCTCCTGCACGCCCCACACTGGGGATGGAGCCCGAAAACCCGGGCATGTGCCCCGACTGGGAATCAAACTGTGACCTCCTGGTTCATAGGTCGACGCTCAACCACTGAGCCACACCAGCCGGGCTGGCCTATGTTTGGCATGCTGGCTCCCGGATGTTGAGGTTGCCGGCTCCATCTGGGCGTCATGGCTGCGTGGACCCTGCTCGGCATGTCTGGCCTCCACCAGGGAGCTGGGCCGATGGAGGGGTGTTGGGGGAGGGTGACATTTCCGAGAGCAGGAGCCTGTGGGGAGACTCGGGGGCTGGGCGTGATGTGGACATGCTCTGGCTCCATCCTCAGAGCTGCTGGCTCTGTTTCCAGGTCCCTGAATGGAGCCACAGACATTCAGGAGTTCCCAGACCTCAAAGGCACCACGAGCCTGGAGACCCTGTGAGTGGTTCTCTTGCCTGTGCCTCCTCCCCCCGACTGACCACCCCCAGCAGCCCCTGCCCCCTTCTCTCCCATCCTCCCTCCCCCACCTCCCCCAAGGCACGGGCTGGGGGTGACTGGTGTCTGTCTTCCACCTGCTCCGTCTCTGCTCCCCTGCAGGACCCTGACCCGCGCAGGCATCCGGCGGCTCCCGCCTGGGATGTGCCAGCAGCTGCCCAGGCTCCGCGTCCTGTGAGTTTCCCACACGCTCCCCACGCCCCGCCTGGCGCCCTGGGTCCCGTGGGCAGCAGAGGCCCCTCCTGCTTTGTCCCACTCGGTCACCTCGCTCCCTGCGGCTGCTGAGAGAGGCCTGAGAGGGACGGGGCTGTCCTCTCCTGTTCAAGGCGGAAGACAGTGGTCTTGGGGCCAGGCCTGGGTGTGACCCCAGCTCTGCCGCCAACCATCTCTCAGAGCTTCACTTTCCTCATCCGCAGGATGTGGTTACAGTTGTGGGGGTTGGGAAAACATGTGTAAAGCACCTGGCACACAGTAGGAGCTCAATACAGGGCTTTATTACTCTCGTTCACACAAGACACCCCTTGTGGAACCATGGAGGTACTTAAGGGGACCAGTGTTCCTCCCCACATCTGTGCCTCAGTTTCCTCCTGAATAAGGTAAAGGGGTCAGATAGTCCATAAGGACACTGGCTCTGTCATCCACACATACGGTGACAGCAGGTGCTGCCCACGGGGCTGGCACTGGCCAGCTGGCTGGGTCATTCCTGGTCCACCCATCCCGTGCACCCCCTCTCTGCCCTCTCTCTCTCTGCTGGGAGAAGTGGGGCTCAGCAAGGGATGCAGACGAGTCGATTGAGGACGGGGCTCTGGTGCGACGTGTATCAGCAGCCACGTCCTCGCAGGGTCCACCGGTCTCGGCCGCCTGACGGGGAAATGGGGCCCTGGCCGGAGCGGCTCCCTGGGCCCGACGTGACCCTGGCCCTGGCCTCTCCCCGCAGGGAACTGTCTCATAACCGGATCGAGGAGCTGCCCAGCCTGCACAGGTGTCAGAAGCTGGAGGAGATGTGAGTGGGGTCGGGGGGTGGGGTGGGGGCAGGACAAAGGCACGTGAGCCGATTCAGGCCGGCCTGTGGGGAGGGCTCTGCACGCTGACCCGTCTCTGCGGGCGTGGAACCCAGGGGTGAGGGCTGGGAGCAGAGGGCGGGCCCAGGAGCCGGTGCCTGAAGGAGTCTCCTTGAGGGTCAAGGGCAGCACCGTGGCCTGGCCTCGTGGTGGTGATGGGGTCAGGGCCGCGTCGGGCTGGACAAGGGAAACGTCAGGGGACCGGGAGAGCCCGCCTCTCGGAGCACAGTCGGTCGTTTTCCAAACACTCACGTGTGCATACGTGTGCCCGTGCACACTCACACCCTCATGCCCACGGGAGGAGACCCGAGCCTCCTGTCTGTCCCCACCGCTCAGCAGGGCGACCGATGCCTTTGGGGCCCAGGAAGGGGGTGTCAGGACCTGCCCCATTTGTCTAGGTCAGTGGTCAGCAAACTGGCCCCTTGAGTGTGACTCTTCCACAAAATACCACGTGCGGGCGCACACATGCAGTGCGATTGAAACTTCGTGGCCCATGTCACGGGGCCAAAGAGCCGCATGTGGCTCGCGCGCTGCGGTTTGCCGACCACTGGCCTAGGTGCCCAAGGAGGAGGGTCTGCAGAGCTGAGGCCCGAGTCCCCCAGTCCCCGAGTGCCTCCCTTCAGACAGCCAGTCCCCTGAGCCACTGCCCGGCTGGGGCCGGTCACAGCCGCCCGAGGGCTGGGCGGAGCTCTGGTGCTAGACTAGGGTCTGGAGGACCCGGAGGGCGAGGTCCGCTGGGCGGGGAGCCACGTCCGCTGGGAACCCTGGAGACTGACTCCCTTTCGGGCCACAGGGACCGTGTTGTGTGGCTTTGTCCGCTGACCCACTTACCCGAGGCAACCGGATCCCTTTCATACTGGCGACTTCCGAGGGCGGGGCCCTCTCTTCCCAAGCCAGGAGAAGTGGGGGCCTGGGGGGTCTCCTCTCTTCTGCCCGGAGCGCGGGAAGGTGGGGGGCGGGGTGTGGAGTGGATCCAGGGTCTGAGCCCACTGGTCACTCGGCCTGCCTTGCTGCCCTAGAGGCCTCCAGCACAACCGCATCTGGGAAGTCAGAGCCGACACCTTCAGCCAGCTGAGCTCCCTGCGGGCCCTGTGAGTACCCGCAGCTCGTGGGGGGTGGGGGTGGAGGGCCTGGGGGGGCAGCTGAGCTCCCTGCCCCATGTCCAGGGGGTCCCCGGGGGGCCATGAGGCTCTGAAGCCAGGCAGCCCCATGCCCTTTCCTGAGGCCACAGGCAGGTGGGAGCCAGGCTAAAGCTACCTTCCTCTCCGGGGGGCGGTCAGACAGGGGGTGAGTGCGGGAGACCCGGGGAGTCCCCCCCCCCATGTGCCTGTCCCCTCCGGTCACCCTCTCTCTGCCTGTAGGGACCTGAGCTGGAACGCCATCCGGTCCATCCACCCCGAGGCCTTCGCCACCCTGCGCTCGCTGGTCAAGCTGTGAGTGCCACTGCGTCCCCCTCCGGGTGCTGCAGGCCAGAGGGGACCACAGCGTCCCCCCCTCAGAGCGGGGACCTGCATGGATGCGTGACCACACATCCCGGGGGCACGGGCTCCAGCCTCATCGATCACCCTGACGGACAGTCCTCCTGACACCCCTCGGGGCCTGATAGACAGAGCGCTGGTCCCGCGGGCTCTGGAGGGCAGCCTCAGGCCCGCCCCACCCCTGCCCGGCCCCTGCCCGGCCCCTGTGCCGCCCCCGACCCTGCCCCCCCCCCCGTCCACTGTCCTAGGGACCTGACGGACAACCAGCTGACCACACTGCCCCTGGCTGGGCTCGGGGGCCTGAAGCATCTCAAGCTCAGAGGGAACCCAGCTCTGTCCCAGGCCTTCTCCAAGGACAGTTTCCCAAAGCTGAGGTGAGACCTGGCTCCCTGCCCCCACCCCCGCTCCCCCCCACACCGAGAGGGGTTCAACCCACCAGGGCGGCCAGGAGGCCCCAGGAGGAGCTCTGTGGCCGAAACTGAGTGGGTGTGGGGGTGCTGGCTGGGAGGGGACCAGGGTGCTTGGGTGCGCTGCTCCCCTCTGGAGCCTGCTGAGGGCGGAAGGTCATTCTCTAGGTGAACGAGGAGCAGCCTGGAATGTGCTCAGAGCCCTTCCGAGGCGGGAGCCAGGCTGCAGACCCTCCTGGAAAGCCCGGAGGCCTCCTGCACCGGCACCCGGGTGCTCTGGGGTCGAAGGGCAGACTCGGGGCGCTGGTGCCTGGGCTGAGACCCCATTCCTGAGGCAGCCCCGTGTCCCTCCCGCACCCCCAGGATCCTGGAGGTGCCGTACGCCTACCAGTGCTGTGCCTACGGCGTCTGTGCCGGCTTCTTCAAGGCCTCGGGGCAGTGGGGAGCGGACGTCCTTCACCTCGAGGATGAGGAGACGCCCAAGGGGCCGCTGGGCCTTCTTGCCGGACAAGCCGAGAGCCACTGTGAGTGCGTGGTGGGGGCGGCGGGGGTGTCCGGGGCACACAGGACACAGCGTGTGGAGGCCAGTGTTGGGCAGGCCCCTGGGGTCTCCGGGAGCCGCCCCCACCCGTGTGCCCAAGCCCCTCCCCAGGAGGGCGAGCGTGTTCCCTGGGAGGAGAAGCCCAGCCATTGCTGGCCCCGCAGGCACCCGGCTCCCCCAGACGTCCCGGACGGATGTCTGCCGTGGTACACTCCCTCGGGGGCTGGAAGGAGGGATGGAAACTTTCCTTGCTCAAGGTGAAACTTTCCGCCAGGCCTCAGTCTGGGGGAACCGCAGGGCGTCGGATGTGGGCCGCCTGCAGGTAGCAGGAGCTGGGACCGGCCCGCTTCCTGTGGGAGCCAACGCCAGGGCTGCCGCTTCAGCCAGACTCCCTTTCCGCCTCCCTTCCCCCCGAGTTTGCAGAGCGGTTGCTCAACACCTTGGCGGGGACGTTCCCGGCCTCAGACTCCCTGGGCTTGGGCCCTTGTATTTCATTCATGCGTTTTCATCTCAACGTGTGGCCGAGCTCCATCCCGGAGAGCGCGGCAGGCGGGCGGGCGGGAGGAGAGGTGGAGAGAGAAGGAAATGCCAGGGCGCGGGCACACGGCAGCCTCCGCCCTTGGGGTCTGGGCCAGGGCTGCCTGCCTCCTGGGAACTCTCCCAGGGGAGGTGTTTGCCCTTCATGTGGGGAGGAAAGATTTCACATGAAACACACGCAGGGACACGTGGGACAGACAGAGCCACCTGTCCGTCCCCTGTAGACGCTGGCTGTCACCTGTACCATGTGCAGGAGTTTCGGCTGCGTAGGTTATAAAGTGTTTTAGATCCTCATTTTAAAATTCCTATGGAGTTTGTGGCCAGGTTAAGAAAATTGTAACAGCGAATAAGAAAAAAAAAAAATCCATTCGTTTCAAACCTGTTAGAGGATTTCTTAAACAATGAATTTACCTTTCTATTCCTATGGTCTCTAACAGACAGATGTAGAAGTGGAAGGATGGTTAAAGATGAGCTAGTCCTGCCCTGGCCAGTTTGGCTCAGTGGATAGGGCATCGGCCTATGGACTGAAGGGTCCTGGGTTCGATTCCCATCAAGGGCACGTACCTCGGTTGCAGGTTCCTGGTCTGGGTCACTCCCTCAGAACACGCTCAAGCTCACTTCTCTGTTTTTTTAAAATCTATTTTTATTGATTACAGAGAGGCAGGGAGAGGGAGACGGAAACATCCATGATGAGAGAGAATCACTGATTGGCTGCCTCCCGCACGCCCTACACTGGGGATCGAGCCCACAATCAGGGCCTGTGCCCTCACCTGGAATCAAACTGGTTCATAGGTCGACACTCAACCACTGAGCCACGCCGGCCGGCCTCACTTCTCTCTCTTAGGAAGATGTCCTTCTTCATGTCCAGTGTTCCCGCTGGACAGGGAGCGGCCGTGCTGGGCTGGCTCCGTGGTGACCAGCTCCCACCCTCAAGGAGGCCCCTCCCCTACCTCCAGGCAGCATCTGGGGGCCCTGGCTGCCTGGGGAGCACACAGCTGAGTTGCAGGAAGAGCAGGTCCCTGTCAAGAGCCAGCCACGCAGATAACCCACACACGGGTCCCACCCAGGGTTCGCGCCCAGGGGCCCTGGACGGACCTGTGCTGGGCACAGGGCTGGGCCTTGGGAGCCCAGGCCCTGAGCCACTGTCTGGTCTCCCCCCAGATGACCTGGACCTGGACGAGATGGAGGACACGAAGCCACACCCCCGTGTGCAGTGCAGCCCCGTTCCAGGTGAGGGCGGCCCCGGGGGCGGGGGAGGGGGGGGACACAGGGTCAGCAGGGTGTGTCTGGGGTCACCTCCTGGGGAGGTCAGCCTCTTGGGGTGATTCCTGGGGAAGAAGCTGGGGGCCGGGGGGGGGCGAGTCAGAGAAACCTTTACAAACCAGGCAGTTAGAGGTTCCACATGCCCATCCCTCTGCGACTTGGATCCCTTCCCTCCCCGCCCCCCAAGGATGAAATGGCTCCTGCCCACAGCTGCCCACAGCTGCCCTCACCTGCCCTCAGCGCTCGGTGACTGCAGTGCGCCCTCTGGTGGCCGCCTGGGCAGGCGCGCCAACACAGAGGAGGAAGCAGGCACTGTGTTTTAGGGACCTGGACAGAAATGTCACCTCCGAAAAGTAATAATCAGCAGGCGAAAGAGCACGTTTGTTTGTTTTTTAATTTTTAAAATTTTATCTCTGAGAGGAAGAAAGAGGGAGAGAGAGAGAAACATGAATGAGAAAGAACCTCATTGATCGGCTGCCTCCTGCACGCCCCGCACTGGGGATGGAGCCCCCAACCCGGGCCTGTGTCTTGATGGGAATTGAGCCATGACCTCCTGGTTCATAGGTCAACACTCAACCACTGAGCCACCCTGGCCGGGCTTATTATGTGCTTCTATTCTGTGTGTAACCACCAATCCCCACAGGGGTTCCCAAGGCCAGGTCAGGCTCCCTGGCCCCGTCCCCAGGACCCGAGTCCAGCGGCCCTGGCCCGGGGCTGACGCCCGGCCCTCTCTCCACAGGCCCCTTCAAGCCCTGCGAGCACCTCTTTGAGAGCTGGGGCGTCCGCCTGGCCGTGTGGGCCATCGTCCTGCTGTCCCTGCTCTGCAACGGGCTGGTGCTGCTCAGCGTCTTCGCGGGCGGTCCTGGCCCGCTGCCCCCGGTCAAGTTCGTGGTCGGGGCCCTCGCCGGCGCCAATGCCTTGACTGGCATCTCCTGGGGCCTCCTGGCCTCCGTGGACGCCCTGACCTTCGGCCGGTTCGCCGCCTACGGGGCCCGCTGGGAGTCGGGGCCGGGCTGCCGGGTCACGGGCTTCCTGGCCGTGCTGGGGTCCGAGGCCGCGGTGCTGCTGTTGACTCTGGCCGCCGTGCAGAGCAGCGCCGCGGTGGCCTGCGTCCGGGCCCAGGGGAAGGCGCCCGCCCCGGGGGGCGGCGTGCGGGCAGGGGCGCTGGGCTGCCTGGCGCTGGCGGGGCTGACCGCGGCCCTGCCCCTGGCCTCGGTGGGCGAGTACGGGGCCTCCCCGCTCTGCCTGCCCTACGCCCCGCCTGAGGGCCGGCCGGCCGCCCTGGGCTTTGCCGTGGCCCTGGTGATGCTGAACTCCCTCTGCTTCCTGGTGGTGACGGGCGCCTACATCCGGTTGTACTGCGCCCTGCCGCGGGGCGAGCCCGAGGCCGCGTGGGACGGTGCCCTGGGGCGGCACGTGGCCCGGCTCATCCTCGCCGACGGGCTGCTGCACTGCCCGGTCGCCTTCCTCAGCGTGGCCTCCGCGCTCGGCCTGGCCCCCGTCACCCCCGAGGCCGTCAAGTCCGTGCTGCTGCTGGTGCTGCCGCTGCCCGCCTGCCTCAACCCCCTGCTCTACCTGCTCCTCACCCCGCACTCCCGCGAGGACCTGGGGCGCCTCTGGCCCTGCGCGGGCGCCGCCCCGGGCGCCCTGGCCTCCGCCTCGGCCGGTCACCTGGAGAAGAGTTCCTGCGACTCCACGCAGGCCCTGGTGGCCTTCTCCGACGTGGATCTCGTTCTGGAAGCTTCCGAGGCTGGGCGGCCGCCAGGGCCGGAGACCTATGGCTTCCTCACGGGCACCCTCGTCTCCTGCCCACAGCCAGAGAGCCCCAGGCCGGAGGGCAGCCACTTGGTTGAGCCAGAGGGAACCAACTTTGGGAATGAGCAACCCCCCATGGACAGAGAGCTGCTGCTGAAGGCAGAGCGGGCCGCACCTGGTGGCGGGGGCGTGGCGGGGGGCAGGGGCATCCAGCCCTCAGGCTCAGCCTTTGCCCCCCACGTATAAATGGCGCCCCATCTTGTCTCCGCCTCCTCCTTTCCTCCCCTCCGTGAATGGTGGCTGTTTGTAAAATAAATTCAGCCCGGATGCAGCTGCGTGGCCTGCGGGAGGGTGGCCCAGGCCCTGGCTCGCTGGCCTCCTGTGGCCGTCACCAGCGTGTGCTGGTTTCCTTCGGGCCTCTTCCCGGCCACACCGGAGGCTGTGGAGCGAGATCTGGAAGTCGGGGTGCTGAGCAGGCCCCGGGTCTGGGCCCTGATGGAGGAAGGAAGGTCTATGAGGGACCACAGAAGCAGCTGGGCATCTCCCCCGTGGCTCTCGGATTGGACCCAACCCGTGTTCTGTGTCTCTCGAACCTGACGTGTGCCGTGACGACGCGTGCGGGAAGACGTGACACGTGGCGTCCCTCCTCGGAGGGTAACCGGCGGGTCGGGCGGTGCAGGCTCTGCCGACGGCGTCTCCCCGGTCCCCACGTGGCTTGACAACGGGTTCTGTTGGCCTGGTTGGTTTTCGTGGAATAGCTGACCGCGTCCCAGAGGATCCGCACCTGTGCCTCCCAGGGCCCCGTCTCCGCCCCGCCTGATGGCCCCGCAGGATGGCGGCTCCACAGGACGCCACCGTCCGTGAGGGCCCTGGCCCAAGGCGCCTGAATCTGGTGCTGATGTGAAGACTGTGGATGGATGGGGGCTGCAGCTCCCTGACCTCCTTCCAGGAAGAATGAAAGGCCTACCAGGTGTACCGGTTAGTAATGCGGATTGGCCCTTTACCGGTTAGTAATGCGGGTTTTGTCATCAAAGAAAACACGGTAATTTCAAGAGAAACATCAAAAGTGCTTTGTTCAAAGTCATGTCCATCGCTGGCTACACGTTTCCCCCGTCTTTCGGGTCATTTGTGGAGACCGCCCCAGTAGAACTTTTCTTGTTTTGAGGCAGACCATTCAGAGACCCAATTGTCCACTTCTTCGCACGTTTTGAAGGCCTGCTCAGGAAGTGCGGGTGCCGTCGGTCGGAACGAGTGGTCACCTGAGGGAGCAATGCAGCCACATAGCACACACATCAAATCGCATACATATCCACATGTGTGTAACCCCCTCTATTGAGAAAAACCCGCATTATTCACCGGTGCACCTAGCAAGGATTGGAGGCGGGGCTGAGGAGCCTGAGTGACAGATGCCCGGGGTCCCCCCCATCCCTCCTGGCTCACCTCTAACTACCTCTGCTCTGGGGCGGCCACGCCTCCCCCCAGCACCCCCGTCACTCACTCCTGGTTCCAGCCCCACTCCCCAGCCGCTGTGTGAAGTGTGAGAATGGCCACGATGTAAATACTCGGGCTCTTCTGTACAATAAAGCCCAGTGACGTGCCGTGGGTGTCCCTGTGCGTCCCTCCCCGGGCACCTGGGTCAGCCCAGGTGGCAGCCGTGACCTGAAGCCCAGACCGGTCCCTCCACCTGCAGCCCCTGTAGGCGCATTCCCGTCAGGTGCTCTGGAGGCCGGAGGGCGGGTCTCCCAGGAGGAGGAGCGCCCAGGCCTGAGCCGGAGACAAGAGAGTCCTGGGAGGCTGAGACCCCCACAGCTCCCCCCTGGCGACCCGGGTCCTGGGGTGCAGTTGGGGTGAGTGACCCTGCAATGCAGAGAGCCACCGTTGTAAGTAAGTCGGCCTTTGCTCGGCCCCTTGCCCCTGTTGGCGCTGTCTGGGTTTATTCACAACGGCTGCTGAGCGGATAGCACTCGAGCTGGGTCTCCCTCTCCTCCTTCCCTCCCCCCAGCTCCTCCCAGTGTCTCGGGATCCTCCAGCCACTCCTGGTCCTCCTGTCCTGGCCTGGGTTCCTCTGGGTGTGTCCCAGGAGACTGAGTGACCCCTCACCCGCGGCTTCCTTCTCCACCCACCCTAGGCCAACCAGAAGTCCGCGGTCAGCTGAGGTCGACCCCTCTCGGGCCAGGTCCTCTCCTGGTCAACTGGACTCAGTGGGACTGAACTCTGTGTCCCTGCAGGGCCAGCGTGGGCGGGACAGGGCTGCCCGGGGAGAGGGGCTGTGCGTGGGCGCGGCGGGAAAGGCCCACCTGGCCTGTCTCACTCCTATATCCACGGCCCTTTCCCAGGGCCTCCACAGTAGGTGCTCAATTCGTTTCTTTCCGGAGGAGGGCGGGGGGGATAATTATGACATTAACATTTCTAAATACAATGGGGCCTTGACTTATGAGTGTCCCAACTAACGAGTTTTTTGAGATACCAGCTGTCTCTCCGTGGATTTTTTGCATTGAGTTGACAGAGTAATTTGAGGTAACGCGCTCCTTAACGAGCTCAGTCTCCGGAATTAAACTCGTAAGTCAAGGCCCCACTGTACACCCTTAAGGATTCTGTTTCCCAGCCTAATGGGGACACCTGGCCAGGAGGTGCAGGTAACACAGAGCACCAGCTTCTGTCTCAACCAACTCCCTGTGACCCCCCCACACCATCCCTGCTCCCCTCCCATGCCCCGTGCGCACGTCCTTTCTCTTAAAAAAAATTTTTTTTTAATTGATTTTTTACAGAAAGGAAGGGAGAGGGACAGAGAGTTAGAAACGTCAATGAGAGAAACATCGATCAGCCGCCTCCTGCACACCCCCTACGGGGATGTGCCCACAACCCAGGTACATGCCCTTGACCAGAATCGAACCTGGGACCCTTCAGTCCGCAGGCCGACGCTCTATCCACTGAGCCACACCAGTTAGAGCCTTTCTCTTTTTATATATGTATTTTTTTTATTGATTTCAGAGAGGAAGGAAGAGGGAGAGAGAGAGAAACATCCATGATGAGAGAGCATCATTGATCGGCTGTCTTCTGCACGCCCCCTACTGGGGATGGAGCCTGAAACCCGGGCCTGTGCCCTTGACGGGGAATCACACCGTGACCTCCTGGTTCATAGGTTGAGGCTCAACCACGGTCTGGGCCGCGGGACATATTCGAGGTGGAGTTGTGAGGTCCTGGTTGAGGATGCGAGTATGGGAGGAAGAGTCACCTGTCACCCCCGATAGACCCTGAGAGTTGGAGAGAGTGGCGTGGGAGCTCGCGGGGGGGGCGGGGGGAGCCGGAGGCGACTTCCTGAGAAGTGAGGTCCAAGTGCAGTGTGTTGTTACTGGGCACAGCGGCTCTGGGCCCATCACCCCAGCCTCCCCCGGGCTCACGGCAGCCTGCCCGGGGAGCAGGTTCTGAAGCCACAGCCGGGTCTCCTCCCGCCCTGGCCTCCCCCAGGCTGCCCCACACGGGCTGGAAGAGGAGCTTTATTTGTACGCGTTGCATTCCCGCTGTGGCCGGAGGACAAATCGCCCGCCCCGGCCTCAGCTCTGAGGCTGCCCACGCGGTGGGTGGTAAAGGCTGATCTGGTTTAGATGCTTTTGGGGAGCGGCCGGGAGGGGGGGAGGGGGCGCAGGGGAGGGAGCTTGGAATGTGCAGTGTTTACAGGATCCGTCACGGCCCCATCGCTCCTCTTCCAATAGGGTCGGGGTCGCTCAGCTCGCCTGTCCCAGGGACCCAGCACAGTGAGAGGCCGTCCCTGTCCTGTCTGCTCCCTCTGTCGCCCGACGGAGCAATGGGGACGCGTCCATGTGGGCTCTCCCGTCCTGGGAGGGGACGCGGCTTTGGCACCCAGCTGTTCGGAGCAGGACTCGCCTGGAAATGGAGCGAGGGACAGAAAGGGATTGTGAAAATCCCACCATCTGTATGATTGTTCAATCAACCCATGTCTGATTTCACCATTCTATTATTTTTCTTTAAAATATTTGGAGCATTTTCAGAAAGTTATTTGTGCTGTGTCTTTACGGGGTTGGTTGAAATGTAGTACACTATCTATTCATTATTGTACAGCACAGGGTCAGGTTTTATTTGTAATATATTTTTATTGATCTCAGAGAGGATGGGTGAGGGAGGGATAGAAACATCAATGAGACAATCAGTGGTCGGCTGCCTCCTGCCTGCCCCCTACTGGGGACCAAGCCCACAACTGGGGCATGTGCCCTTGACCGGAATTGACCCGGGACCCTTTGGTCCGCAGTCCAACGCGCTATCCACTGAGCCAAACCGGCCAGGGCCTCACCATTGTCTTCTAAAACACTAGCATAGAACTTGGCACAGAGTAGGTGTCCAATAAATATCTGTGGAACAAATGGTTTCACCACAGCGATTCTGACCGGCTGTGTCGTTCACAAAAAGTGAAAGCTGCAAAAATTAACAAAAGCGCATGCCACCTTACTCCCACGTTGTGTCAAGACTTCTGAACCCCAGAACCCCTGAAGGCCGTGGACCTGTCTGTAGTGGCTCCTGTACCTCTACGCCAACCATCCTGGGCCCCTGGGGTGTGGGCGAGCTGGCAAAACAAAGGACAACACACCCGGCCAGTGTAACACCCTCACTCATCTAACATCCCCGGGGCCACAACCAGGATAAACACGCTCCACGCTGAACGGTTATTTATTCTTCAGGTTTCAAAGGTTTCTAAATACATAGGCACAAGCGGAATAAAACAAACTCCACTTAGGGGATCTGTGTAGGGCAGGAAATATAAATACACAGGGTCTGTTTTATGAGAGGCAGAAACGGTTGCGCCGTCACATACACCGAGAACACGGGAGACAGGCGGGCGAGCTGGGCCACCCTGACAGAGAGCAGTGACCGGGAGGGACTGGGACCGAGCCCTAGACGCCATCGCAGAACCTCTTGCCCGGGCCTCCCGGCGGCTCCGCCTTCCTTTTCGGTGCTGTGCCGTGTGCTCCTGCATCGCCGGCCGCAGGCGGGTTCCCAGGCACCTCCTCGTCACCCTACGGAGGAAAACCCGAGGCTCACGCCAGCACCGAGCCCTGCGGTGTCACCCCCAAGTGCCTCCTTGCTGCCTCCTGCACATGCTACTCCCTCCACCGGCATCTTCCTTGGCTGCGGGCACATCCCCAGTAGGGAGTGTGCAGGAGGCAGCTGATGGATGTCTCTCTCATCGGCGTTTCTAACTCTATCCCTCTCCCTTCCTCTCTGTAAAAATCAATAACGTGTATTAAAAAACAAAACAAAACAAAACGAAATCTTAGGGAAAAGAGTCGGAGTCCGCTCTCGTCCATCTGTGCTGCCGCCCAGAATGTGAGTGACCCCGCGGCTGCCCGCCCTCTAGGGACCTCAGTGGGCGACCACCGTTAGGAGAAACCTTTTGCTGAGTCATTAGTCAGAAGTCTGCAGGCGGAGAAGACGCCCACACTGGCCTAGAGCGCGCCCCGTACAGATGTGGTGAAGGCACATCCACACGCGCCTACTGCAGACCCTCGTGATGGGCCGACGGCGGCAGAGCACCAGGCCGCGCAAACACACCTGCTGCTGTCTCGCGTGCTGCTCTGTCCACCGCCTGGCGTTGCTGAGGAAGACGGGCTTGTTGTATTTGAACTCTGAGGACTGAGAACCAGAGGGAGGAGTGAGTGGAGGGAAAAAGGACCCCCGTCAGGGCTCAGCCGCCTCGCCGACGGGGCCCGGGGTCCAGAGAGGAGACGAGGACACTTACGATGTCGGCCATGAGCGGGTCGTCCGGGTTGGGCTCTGCCATGAGCAGCTGGATGGAGGCCAGCACGGTGGCGATGCTGAGGGAGGGCCGCCAGGCGCCCTGCGTACACAGACGCGGCGGCTTCGTGACCCCGAGCGGGAGACGGAGGCACCTGCCTGGAGCCACAGCCCCGCAGCCCGCCCGCCCCCTCCGCTCACCTTGGGCGGCAACTTGAGGACATCCAGGCAGATCCTCCCGGCGGAGTCGATGTTTGGGTGATAGATTGGAGTCAGAAACCGGATCTGAGGGGGCTCAAATGGGTACCTGTGACAGCGACGGACAACAGAGAGTTTATTAAGATGCTGCCTCGTACCAACAGCTTCCTGGTGACCCCTGGGGAAGACAGCCTTCGAGAGGCAAACCTTTCCTCCCCCCACTTTTTTATTATGGAAATTTACAAACAATAGCGAGGAGAAATGACAGCATATAGACACTCATCTACCCTCCACCTGGATCAGCCACTTCACCCTCGAAGTCAGCGGTTCTCAACCTGTGGGTCGCGACCCCTTTGGGGGTCGAACGACCCTTTTGCAGGGGTCGCCTAAGACCATCGGAAAACACATATATCATTACGTATTGTTTTTGTGATTCATCACTATGCTTTCATGATGTTCAATTTGTAACCATGAAAATACATCCTGCCTATCAGATATTTACATGACGATTCATCACAGTAGCAACATTACAGTGATGAAGTAGCCACGATAATAACTTTATGGTTGGGGGTCCCCACAACATGAGGAGCTGTATGAAAGGGTCGCGGCATGAGGAAGGTTGAGAACCACTGCTCTAAGTCCTTCACACAAA